TAAAAGAGATAAACAGTTTATGGTTCATGACTGTCTGTTCGTGGCTTTGTTAGAGCTGGGGGTCTCGCGCAATGCATCTGGAAAATAAGAGAAAAGTGAGAATGAATAGACTGCGGTTAAAGTGAATGTGATGCCGTTACACTGCCCCCCTCTAGATGTAGGTGTTGTCCTCAACACCTGCTGTCGACTGCTCGGGGGCTGTCGTATCACTTATCTCCACGTACTCGGTGGCCTCGGGGACTGGGGGTTCGTTTTCCTGCGAGACGCGTGGGTCGCTGGTACTCAGAGTCGCCGGTTTCAGGCGGTTAAAGTGGGCCACAAAAGAACGTCTCGGATCTTGGGTGTTATCCGTGATACGGCAGGTACGATCGTTATACACTTCTTCAACAGTGAACGGCCCTGTCCATTCCTTGTGCAGTTTCGAGGGGAGTCCCGGTGGAGGCACCGGTGCATGCAAGTAGACTAACTGTCCAGGTTGTAGCGGTAAACCTTCAACTCGTCTATCGTAGTAGTCCTTTTGGTGACGTTGGGCGTTGGACAGGCAGTTCCTTGCGAGTTGGTTCGTACGGATTAGGTCGCTGCGTACCCTCTTTGCATGCTCCGTGGCTAGCAGTGGATCTGGCGGCAGTCGCGGTACAGTCAAATCAAACGGCAGACGCATCTCACGTCCAGTGATCATATAATGTGGGGAGTGGGATGTCGAAGAATGAACAGTGGAACGGTAGGCTAACAAACAATGTGGTAGTGCGCGGTCCCACTCCCGTGCGCTGTATTCGTCTGTGAACGCTTTTAACAGAGCCTTTATTGACCGATTTGCGCGTTCAACTCCACCATTTCCTTGCGGGTGGTAAGCAGTAGTGCGCGTTTTGCGGATACCAAGAAGATGGCATAGCTCAGAAACAATAGTGCTCTCGAAATTCGAACCTCGGTCCGAATGCAACTGCTCCGGGGCGCCCCAACGCGAGACCCATTGCTCGAAGATCGCATGTGCTACAACAGTTGCGCCGTTGTAGGGAATAGGAGTGGCCTCGCACCACTTCGTGAAATGGTCGACCAGAATTAGAATGTAGCGGTTACCACGGTCTGTTCGGGGTAGAGGTCCCATTACATCTACTGCAACTGTTTGATTTGGGTATCCGGTGATGATGGGTTGTAGCGGTGCGCGGTTTGGCCTCTGAGGCGGTTTCGCACGAAGGCATTCCTGACAAGCGTTACAGAAGTTAACCACATCTCTGCGCTGGTCTGGCCACCAGAATCGCTGCCCAACAGCCTCATCCATTTTTCTCTGCCCGGGATGTCCTAATTCGGTATGTAGTTGGCGCAACACAAAATCGACCTTGGACTGGGGAACAACGATTCGTTTGGAATAATTCGGCCCGTATTGATAGTACAAGATTCCATCATGAATTACGAGGCGTTGCCATACCGACCACACGCAATGAGCCTCCCAACTTAAGCCTGCCATCTCCGCTTTCGTAGGTTTGATCCCATCGGTGGATATCCTTTCATAAATCAGCTTGAGCTCCGGATCGTTCCTTTGGAGATCCGACCACTCGGCAGAATTGGAAGTGTCAAGCGACACTACGTCTACGTGGTGATCAGAACACGAGGGGCAATCGACGTCGTGTTTGCCGTTGCGTCGTGACAGAGCATCCGCATTGGCATGCTGTCTGCCGGGTCTATGTACACACTCAAAATCATATTCTTGAAGTTGTTCTTGCCAGCGGGCGACCTGCCCTTCGGGGTCCCTAAAATTCTGTAGCCACTTAAGCGAATGATGGTCCGTACGAATAAGGAAACGCCGCCCCAAAAGGAAATGGCGAAAATGCTTTGTGTATGTCACCAAAGCCAACATCTCCTTGCGTGTTGTGCAATAATTACGTTCCTGTTTGCTCAGACATCTGCTTCCGTAAGCAATCACATGTTCCAACCCATCAGGTCCGACTTGTGACAGGACAGCTCCAATTCCGGTGTCACTTGCGTCCGTGTCGAGAATAAACTGACCCGCACTAGGAGACAGATCTGGGAACGCTAAAATTGGCGAATTTACCAGCGCTTGTCGCAAAGAGTCAAACGCTTTGTCACACTGAGGAGTCCACTGAAACGGCCTTCCCTTCTCGGTCAAACGGTGCAGTGGTGCGGCAATGTCGGCAAAGTTGCGGACGAACCTGCGGTAGTAGGAAGCAAGGCCCAGAAACTGTCGCACGTCTTCCGTGGAACGCGGAATAGGCCAGTCTTGAATCGCCTTTATCTTATTTGGGTCACTCTGCACCCCCGATGAAGTGATGACATGGCCTAAGAACGTCACTTCCTTCCTTAATAGCTGACATTTGTGTGGCTGTAACTTGAGACCAGCATCCACAAGACTGTGTAGGACCACATCCAGATTTTCCAAATGTTCCTCCAGGGAGCGCCCATGCACGATTACATCGTCTAAGTAAACTAGGCACTGATGTGGTATCAAAGTTCTAAGAACGACGTGCATTAGACGTTGAAATGTGGCCGGCGCGTTTGATAAACCGAAGGGCATAGTTTGAAACTCGTACAGTCCCGATGGTATCACAAAAGCAGTCTTTTCACGGTCCCTTAGGTCAACCTCTACCTGCCAATATCCAGATGCAAGATCAAGAGTAGAGAACCATTGCGCCCCCCCGAGGGTTTCCAAAGTGTCATCTATACGAGGCATTGGAAACGAATCCTTGCGGGTTACTTCATTTAGCTTACGATAATCTACACAGAGGCGCAGAGAACCATTCTTCTTTTTGACGAGAACTATTGGCGAGGCCCAGGGTGACTTCGATGGAGTAATAATGTTTGCCTCCAGCATTTGCTTTATCATATTTTCGAGCTCCGCACGATATTGCACTGGTACACGGCGGGGTCGCTGAGTGATAGGCCTCGCGGGCCCTGTGTCAATTTTGTGTCGTATGATACCAGTACGGCCCAGAGAGGACCCTTCCCATACGAACGCGGCGGCATTTTTCTTCACCACACTGTACAGAGCGTCGAGAGTCTCTGACGGAAGATTATTCTTCAGAGGAGATAAGAAAGCGGTTATCTGTGTTTCGAGCGGTGCGTGCGTGTGGCTTGCTGAACACATACTGGGCAGCGGATTTGGATCGATAGTAATGGCTACTTGAGAATTGTTGAACTTCATACACCCCTGACGCATATCGATGCAGCACCCCAAAACGCGTAGCAAATCTGAGCCGAGTACTGCGTCCCATGGTATTTGCGAGGATACGAACATAGGATGGGATAACGTTTCGTCCCCTAAAACCAGATCCACCATAGCGATGCCAGTTACATTTAATAGGGTGCCATTTGCGGTTCTGAGGCGATGACGGTTATCAAGTTTAACGTCCCTGGTGCATAAAGAGGGTTTAATTAGAGAGCAAGTGGCTCCTGTGTCTACTAGGGCGTGTGCCGGTCTACCACAAAGCAATATGCGCACGAATGGCTGCCCTACGTTTGATAAGGAAGAAATGCAAGGCACAGACTGGGACTTACCCCCATGGGTCCACGTGCTTGATGCTCCAGGGTTGCGTCGAACACCAGCAGAAGGCAAAAGTGGTCGGTTATGTCCACATGTTCGAGCTTGTGTGCCAAATTTTCGACAGTAGTAACAGTCATTGGAGTTCCATGATCTCGTGGGTCGAAATGCTGGTGCCCGTTGGAAGCGCGACACAGGGCAGCCAGACGACTGAGACGGTCCTCTGGCTCGTGCTGCAGCCTCGTACTTGCGACCGATGACGATGGCTTCTTCCACGGACGACGGTGGGTCCCGCACGTAAGCTCGGCCAGTTTCATCGTCGGCAACACCTTGAATCAACCGCTCCAAGATGAACGCGTCCCGAATGACGGGTGTAACATTTCCGAAGGCACGCAATGCCAGAGTACGGAGTGCAGTGACGTAGTCGTCAAACGTTTCATGCGCGCCCTGCGATCTGATCCAAAACTCATTTCTTGCACCGGGTTGGGAGGAACCATCGCCAAATAACGAACCCAGTTTCGACCAAATCTCATCCACGGAGGAGGTGACGGAAAATCCGGAAGAAATCAAGGCTTCCTGCACATTTGTTTCTAGGTGAGACAGAATGTACGGCCCGCGTGAGCTGGGAGGAACCGCGCTGAGATATAGGTTCATGCGCCACTTCCATGATGTCAGGTTTGTGCCCACAGCGAAACGTTCTGGTGGAGTCGGTGTTGGCTGAGCAAAATATGGTTTTACTTCCGGTTTAATAAAAGGCGGTTCGAAGTCGTCAGAGTGCATTTTGGGCTCCATCTCCGTCGCCAGAAATGTAGTGTGCAATGTTCGGGGAAAGGCCAGGTATATCCGCGAGCTGAAGTACAACAAGCACAACAACGCGATTAATCACACAATCCACGGGCAAGTACGGTGGACGGGAGCCCCGGGCGGAAGAACACAGTGGGTGACGAACAGCGTGTATTCGCAGAACGGAAGTGAACTTGTACAACACGGTAAAACAGGCTCAATATAAAATATACAATCAAAGAGATAAAAGAGATAAACAGTTTATGGTTCATGACTGTCTGTTCGTGGCTTTGTTAGAGCTGGAGGTCTCGCGCAATGCATCTGGAAAATAAGAGAAAAGTGAGAATGAATAGACTGCGGTTAAAGTGAATGTGATGCCGTTACATCTGCTTTGCAAGCAGATAGCAGAAAAAAGAAAAGACAATATAAAAGTAGGGAAGCGGCGTATGTTCTAGATAGGCATAGCTATCCAGAAATGCTCTAATTAGCCCGTAATACCCTGCGACAACTACGGACTGCCCATATGGACTGCACCATATGGAGCAGTACCAAAGAAGGTAAAAATTTCTCTTTATGCTGGTCCTGGACTTAGGTAGATAATATACATTCACTATCTCCAAGTTCATAGATGGTAGTATCCCGAACGTGCAATCGATAGGTTTTCACTTATGCTTTCCGCCACGCGAGTTTGTGAGGATGTACTTATTTAATTGCATTATTCGTAATCACAGATGTTCAGTATTCAGCTCCTTGCACCTATCTCTGTATGAAAAAGCGGTTGAATAACTAAAACTGCGCTCCGTAAAGGAGCGCTGAAGGTTTCCAATGGCTGTCAAGTCACATTTTTGCAAGTTACTGAACGGAACACAGCAATATTCAAGCAAAGGGCTGATACTGCTTTTGCAAACACTTAGTCTGGTTTCTTTCAAGGTTAGCAGGTAGCATATGAGCCTGACCGCCTGCTTATAATTTTTCACGATAGGATTTGAATATTCTTTAAAGTTAAAGAACTAGAATATCTTATACCTATGTCACAATCAGACTGGCTGCTTGGAATGACTTCACCATGAAGCCAGGACAATTCTGCTGCTATCTG